AATCATCATTAAATCCCATTAAATCCCATTGAATCATCATAAATCCCGTTAAATCCCATTGAATCACCATTAAATCCTATTAAATCCCATCAAATCATCATAAATCCCAGTAAATCATCATAAATCCCATTAAATCCCATTAAATCCCATCAAATCATCATAAATCCCATTAAATCCCATTAAATCATCATAAATCCCATTGAATCATCATAAATCCTCATAAATCCCATTAAATCCCATTGAATCATCATAAATCCCATTAAATCCCATTGAATCACCATTAAATCCCATTAAATCCCATTGAATCACCATTAAATCCCATTAAATCCCATTGAATCACCATTGAATCCCATTAAATCCCATTGAATCATCATAAATCCCATTAAATCCCATTGAATCACCATTAAATCCCATTAAATCATCATAAATCCCATTAAATCCCATTGAATCATCATTAAATCCCATTAAATCCCATTGAATCATCATAAATCCCATTAAATCCCATTAAATCCCATCAAATCATCATAAATCCCATTAAATCCCATTAAATCATCATAAATCCCATTAAATGCCAGTAAATCATCATAAATCCCATTAAATCCCATTAAATCCCATCAAATCATCATAAATCCCATTAAATCCCATTGAATCATCATAAATCCCATTAAATCCCATTAAATCATCATAAATCCCATTAAATCCCATCAAATCATCATAAATCCCATTAAATCCCATCAAATCATCATAAATCCCATTGAATCATCATAAATCCCATTAAATCCCATTGAATCACCATTAAATCCCATTAAATCCCATTGAATCATCATAAATCCCATTAAATCCCATTGAATCACCATTAAATCCCATTAAATCCCATTGAATCACCATTAAATCCCATTAAATCCCATTGAATCACCACTAAATCCCATTAAATCCCATTGAATCATCATAAATCCCATTAAATCCCATTGAATCACCATTAAATCCCATTAAATCCCATTGAATCACCATTAAATCCCATTAAATGTTGCTATTGAATTTTACCCCAAGTCGATGGCAAGCCATGGCATCATGGCTTGCCATGGCTTGCCATGGTGGAACCACCGAGATGTACTTCTCGACCGACCAAGACCGTCCTCACTTAATGGATGGGAATATGGGTTACCATTAAGTGATAATTCCCATGAATGGATGGTGAATCCTTATTTAAAAAGGATAATTCCATGGTAATAATAGGGAATTATCACTATTTATTATGTTCCCATATTCCCAGTAATTACCATTAATGGATGGTGAATATCACGTCTTCCTGGAATTACAAAACATCCCATCAATGGTGAATAATTCCCATAATTAATTAGTAAATATGGGTCAAACTTAATGGATTGAAATATTTCAAGCTTAGGAATCTCCCGATTGCTGTTGGCGATTCCAGGATCACAATATTCCCACAATGTTTTTTGGTCCCCGGTAAGTTGATTTATAATGCCATCCTATAGATATATCCACCGTAGATCCGCGGTTAGTCCCGCTATCAACTAAGTTTTAAACCACAAGAAATTAATGAACTAAGTACACTAATGATTGCTTACTAATCATGGATATATATATATATATATACGTTAAGTCAGTTGAATTCTCAAAAAATGTTGGGGCCACTGCAGATTTCTTTGGCAGGACCTCTCTGACAATCAGTTGGTAGACGTGTCCATCGATGCTTGGCTCAGCACACATATCCAAAGATATGGAAATCGGTGGTTGTTTCCAGTTCGAAAATGATCCATAAATGATCATAAATGCTGCTTTCCACGCTAATTTACATATATACGTATATATATATACATTATGACAATTATATTATATGCACATGTTCATGTACCAGAGGGTAAAGGTAAATCAAACATATAGATATAACCTACATATACATATGGTGGTAACAGTGCAACAAATGACCTACTTAATGGGGATCGAAATAGAACCCTGTCCCTGGCCTTCGTCGCTTCCACAGCGAATGACACGAGACACGAACCAAATGAGTTTTGATACCTCTGGCCCACCTAGAAATTGGATGAAATTAAGCACAGGCAAATGTTTTATATGATAACATTAAATGATATGCAAAAAACATCAAACTAAATTTAATATACTGTATTGATAATACAACTCAACTGTATTATCGTCTCCCACAACTGTTTGATGGTTGAAGCTCAAGCCACCAAGAGTCACCGAGAATCATCCCAGTGGCACCTGGAACATTCACAGCACCATGATACCAACATGTGCTCACAAGATGGTTTCTTCATGTTTGTTCCAACATCTTGGGCAGAAAATCTCTAGAGAATATCCAGGTGCCCAAACAGGAAACCAGCTTCGTGTTGCCGAAGTCAAACAGGGTGCCCAAACAGGGGGGGCCCAAACAGGTGTGGCGAAGGCCAAGGTTGTGAGCCACTTCTGTCAAGTTCTTTGGTGTTTTTGTTGGATGCCTCACTATTTATCTGGTGGCTTCAGCAATCATCACCACATGGGATCATTCACCCGAGGGCAGGGTCAAGAGCTCATGATGCTCATGTCTCATGGTCGCCTGGAGGATTCACTTCATTTTACATCATGTTGCTTTGATTGCTTATGGTTGAATGGAAGTAGAGATTATGTGTGATAGCTTAGTGGTTCTGATTTGATGTTTATGTCCTTTGTTTCAATCCTTTTGTCAATCAGAACATGTGGGATCCTCCTGGCTGTAAAGCATGGTGAAAGCCTTTTGGTTACTCGTTCTCTTCCCATGCTGTTTAGGTACATACAGTACGCGTGACTTGAACCACCAGTTGTCCACACTTATTCTTTTCATACATGCTTATTTAAATTCACGAATCTTCACTTGGACAGTGCCCAAAATACCTGTTAGTAGATTGTTATAGTGATTCTGCTGCTTGGTGTAGTGGATGTTAGTATACAAGTATTGTAACTGAAAGGAGACCCTATAATAAACCAGCAAGTAGAACGGGATTAGACCAAGTTGTACCAATAGAAATGGCGTTGCCGCATTTGTTAAGCCCACTTTGAAGCTGAGCCACATGGTATCCCATCGTGATCAGGAACTCCTCTCCAATGGGCTTTGCCGTTGTGCTGCCCTGCGGGAGGTCACGGTGAGTGGTCAACCGTCATGGGCGATCTCTCTACCCATCCTTGATTTGTCCAATAAATGGGGATACAGCTGATACAAGGTGATGGCTTGATTTGGTGCAGTGAAGACGTATCCTGGTTTGTCGAAAAAAAATATCTATACAGGTTGCAAAACCAGGTAGGAACACCCTGAGAAATAGGTGGGTGTTTTCGTGCATAGCATTGAGCTAGTATAAACAAGTGCAGCGTTGGAGAATGAGATCAAGCCCCAAAAAACGGTTCCAGAACGGAGACCAGGGTAGGAACACCCTGTCACCCGATGGATGTACCAGTAATACTTTCCGCGGCTAAAATGTGTGGGTCAACCAACTGCAATCGTGAAACCAACTGGATGAAAAACGTATGGTGGATGTCAACCAATGATATTCCCCATCCATTGTGATTGCATGTAGGATTGATCCAACCACAAAAATTGTTGGGTAGAAGAATCAAGACATGGTATGATAAGAACACGAAGAATGTCGATATCTGGTCAGGATATTTTCAATACTGTAGCAATATTGGGACCAACGACAGGGCTCAGTTGAAAAATGATTCGGCAGAAATAACGAGCTGTGTTGCTTTCACAAATGGAACTCACATGAACTCGAGGTTCCGGCCTAAAACCAGTTATCACAGTGCCATTTCAGAAACAATGCAGTTTCTGTTTCTTGCCACACTCTGTGCCGAACCATGCCAGAAAAATGCACGAATATTGGTTTGAAGCAGATAGGGGGTGCCCTAATTTTTGGAGTTGAAGTTTCCGGGTATCCAAATCATTCTGCAGGTGCACTTGGCGAACAACGCATCTTGGACCGCAGATCACCACGAGAAACTGGATGTCCCTCTTTTGAAGGTAGGGTGGGTTTCAAGCAGCATAAACGTGGATTGAAATGGATTGAATCAACCAAAATGGTTTGATCAAAATGGTGGTGTTAACATGTTTTGACATGTTTAATCGGCACAAATTGGTTTTAAGCAAAGATTCTGATGCTTTGAACAGGCCAAAACGGTGGTTGAACTAGGAAACATTAGGATTGCTCTTTCTGTGTTCGTTGAAAGATGAACCTGCGCATAGTTTATGTCCATGCATTTTTGCATGCATGTTATGGACATGTTTGTTTGGACAGATATTGATAGAAAGTGCTCTATCCATGCTTGAACATAGCAATTTCATGCCCGGCTCTGACAGAGAAAATGACATGATGTCAGAAGTAACCAGGGAAAGAATCACCCCTGGGTGATTTAAATCATGGTGGAATCGTCCCACACGTCGGTAACGATATGATATTCAACTGCCTTAAAAACTCACAAAATCTCTTGCAAGAAGGGCCCACCAGCATGTATGTCTCCATTTAACTAGTTAGATACATGATACATCCCCAATCCAAGCGCAGCTAAATCAATTATAATAGTGAATGTCAACTTTGCAAACGAATTGCCATCTGGTTATTTAACATAGCCATGGAAAATCCTCTGTAAAAATGGAAGTTTCCAAATGGGAAAATCATTTGTTTCTATGGGCAATTGTCCAGTTCGCTATGTAACAAATAACCAGAGGGTAATAGATGTTATTATCTATACGTATTAGAATTATTAGATATGGTTTACCACAAGTGTCACCTTTTCTCATCCACTACTTATTTCCAAACATGGCAGTGTGTCAAAACCTTGTACCCCTGTAGTTCACATCAAAATAGCTGGCATTCATGGATGTTCATATTCATTCCCCTAAAAATGGTATTTTCATAGGTATTGATCCATACCCACATAGCTATGATCCCCACCCAAGTTATGCTGGGCACGTTGCGTGTCTTCAATTTTTGGTGAAAGCCCAGCGCTTCAGCCATGGCCTGGAGCTCGGACTGGTGGACCAATGGCTGGAATGGTCCCGTGGATCCGGAACAAGATGAATTTATTAAGAGACTTGGAGCGCTGGGACGTTGGAACGCCTGGTTTCCTGTTTTTTTTTTGGCTGATTGGTGAAATAGAGTGAAAATTGAGAGAGAAAATCTGAAGAAGTAAAATTGATGTGAACATATCGTAACATATATATATACATAGGTTCTATGGAAATTAATGTTATATGATCTGGAGAAGTTATTGTTTTTATGTGAACATATCATAAAATATACGCATGTGTTGGGAGACTTCGGGTTGATAGCTGGGCGTTCTTTAAAAAAAACTGAAAAGAAGCACGTGAAAAGATGTTGAAATGTCTTCAAAAGTTGCTTTGTAACAAAAAGAACTGCTGAGAACATGTTGATGGAAACATGATGAAACATGTTAATTTATGTCAATTAAAGAGACTTGGATTGGAATGGCTGGGTTCTCTGAAAAGAAAGAGGTTAAAAAAATGTGTGTTTAAATTATGTTTAAAGATAAATTTCTTAAGAGACTCAGAGATAAGTGCAAATAGATGAACCACACTGGCCGAGAGAGCTAAACAGGTGGGCTATAACGTACGGTAGGGGGTTTTACAAACAGAAATGGTGATATTACCCATGGTTTTTGTCTTTGCCACATATTTGCCAGGACTTGTCAACAGATCCAACAGGAGTAGCAAGCCACCAATTCTCAGATTTGCCATTGCAACAAAGGTACTCCTTGACTTGGTAAATCTCGAGATGATAAGGATCTATAGTGATCTATATAATTGCAATGATGCAAAGTCCATCGCTCTTTATGATGATCTCCAATAGACATTGAAGTATATAACGTCATAATGGAAAATACTTGAAAAAATATGTCTCAAGGCGTGCGAATGAAGCCATTCACATCTACGAAGGGTTCGAAATCCATGCCCTTTGGTAAACTAACAGTTTGCTATGGAAATCACCATCTTTCAAAAACGGTAAATCAACGAAGTAAATGGGCAATTTTCAATAACAAACTGTTGAATTACCATCTGGTTATGACTAACATAGCCATGGAAAATCCACCCATTTTTAAGAACGGTACACCATCTATTTCGATTAGGGCCATGGCTTCCATGGCGAACTGTGAGTCATAACCCGAGCATAACCAGAGGGTAAACACCACATGGATTCCTTGCACCAGGAAGTGTCAGCTGGATGACGCCTCCATCACTTTCCTTTCCGGGCTCCCGGAGAACGTCAAGGACGAGGCCTGACAACCGAGTCATGGTTAGTCATGTTTCGTTTATATGTTGCTTGGGAAAGCCAGTATGAAATAATATGAATTGTCTGAAACCCATTTTTAATATAGCTATATGCTAATTTTCTGAAGGCAGTACTATTTATGATTTAAATTGGATTGTTTCTGAAACAATCCATTGGAGTTGCATATGCTGGCACCGATCGAAAATGAACCTGTGAACCCTCGAATAATTAAATCAAAACTTGTGTGCCGTGAGGTTGGCAAAAGGGCCGAAAATCCGCAAAATCAAGACATACTAATATGAGGTCGCGCAGATGGACCCCTACAACTTCATCCCATCTCCCCAACACTATCAACGTTGCACTTCTCCATTTGGGCTCCAAATAATTATATCCAACACGCAGCCAATGGTATTGGGGGGTGGTTTGATATCAGGGGCAGTGATGGGCTAGTTCTGCATTAAGAGGCTCCGCGAGTTTAATTAATTTGGATTTCATGTGCTTAAGATTTGGCATGATTTAGCATTAGACCCCCAATCACCAGTCAGTTAAGCCAGTATTTAGAATCATTTAGATGTTTGAAATCCCACTCTTCATGGTTGAAGTTCCCTGGAAAATCCTCTAGTTTTTGGTCGGGATTTTCCAGGATCTAACTTGTTAGATTGGTTAAAATCCTGGATGTTTTTTGCAGGAAACCACTGGAATTGGTTACAAACAAACGTGGGTTTCCTGGAAAAATGGCTCAGGAGTTCTCAGTTTATTATAGTTTATGCATTGAGTGTCAATATTTTTTTCATGTGTCCTGTCGTTTGTTTTCCATTGCATGATCTCGAAGGTACAAGAAGGCACCCCTCAGGTTAGTTGATGTATGTTGATACATAAAGACGTTTTACCTATAAACCATAAAGAATTATCCAGTTATAAACCCACTAACCTAACATTGCTATGGAAAACCAGAATTTTCAATGAGTAAATAATCTACAAAGCCAGCGATTTTCCATAGAAAAACAAAAGTCGCCAGGTCAAACGCAGCGTTTGTCCCGCCTGGGAGGAAGGTTTGAGCCACTCAGCCGATGGTGAAAGGAGCCCCGAAGATATCAGGTGGAAATAAGCCATATTTTGACCATGGCACGGATGGATTTTTCATCATCTTATAATGGTTCAGTTGGTTGTGAAGTGGGCTAACGAATTGACTTATAGTGGATATACGATGGGGTTGTAAAGCAAGTTACAACTGGCGGGGGCCTTCCTGTGGGATATCCCATTGAAATAGCTGGGTAAACAAACCCCGACACGATATAACCAGCTACTAAGTGGGATGATGTTCCAAGTACTCTCAACCCTGGAGAAGCCGTTAGTTTACAGCAACCGCCAACAACTGTTTAAAACAAATGAAAAATATGATCAAAATGGTTACGAAAAAAGTTATCAGATGGTGCCCAAATAACAAGAAGATATACGTACATATTTAAATATACATAGAAATATATTAATTACATATAACTATATATATAACATAATGTGATATAATATAGTTTAATATGATATAATATATATAGATAAATATAATATAATATAATATAATATACTAAAATATTATACAATGACGTAATATAATAACATATAATAGAATATAATATAGCATGTTATATATATATATATATATGTGCGTGTGTATCATTCCAACCATAGCTTTACGAAAAATCCTGGTGGGATCGGCGTGACGGACCGACCTTGAGGGCCAGAAAAATCCGAGCGATTATGGGGAAGAGCGATCCGAAATTTCATCAAATCACACACGTACACGGATATTATATGTATATATATGATATCATATATATATATATGTTTATATTAGTTATATATTTGTTACATATACATGTATGGAACACACCTGAATGTCCCCCATTAAATGAAGAAACTCCCACAATAGGCTGGTTTTCCAGGCAACCCCCTTGTCACTGGGAATGCTTTGTTGGGACTGGGCTGCGTGCGAGTCCTGCGCGGCCAAGGTTTCAAGCGATTCTTTGAGATCGTGAGAGATCCTCGTCTCCAGAAATCTCGGGTTGCGCTGGGTGGCGTGATTTCTATGGGTAAAATCGGGTAAAATACCTTGGTGATAAGATGTGATAAGCTCAATCAGTTCGGGTATACTGTGGTGAAATATATCAACTTAAACTGAAACTGTGCCCCCATAACTACCGCTCACTTGACCTGTTTCTAGAGGTGCGCTAGATGACTGGTGGTTGGTGCTTTCACATCCAAATTTTGAATATGTCACAACTGTTTTAGCTACAAGGTACTGACTAAGGTGATCTTTGTTTTCGAACCATTCACCTATAATTAATATATATATATATATTCACCCGGGTGAATGAAATCTGGCAGTTTCAAGCAAAGCCTGGCCACGATTGAATATCAAAGATGGGGGCAGGGGAGTGATGCTAGTGGTGGAAATCATGCCAAACATTGCATATGTCAGGTTTGAAAATTGTGTAACATATTTCAACTTGCCTAGGTTGTTGAAGAAGTAACCGGCCAAGGGAGCTGAATTGACCTTTGCTTCTCCCCTGGGCAAATTTCTCAACGTGAACGGAAAGCAAAGAGTTGTTAATTGATAAAGTTTAATTCATGTTCATGGAGACATGCTTGATATCCAGTATTTTTTTGTTTGTTTCAAGTGTATATATCTAAGATTGGCCATCCCCATGTTTCCCTTGGTTGTCCGCTAAAGTCCCCCAATTTTCTTTTTGGTTTATGTGATTGAACCCAACTTTTGTCGTTGCAGAATATCAGGACATTTGGTTGAGACAACTCTGCGTCCATCGAGACCGGAGGGTCACTTGTTCAGCGCTGAGAGTCCCCAAGATCTTCAGCTGTTGTCAGCTTCATGTGCTGAATAAAGTGGCAAACCACCATAGTTGGCAGGATAATTATGTCTTTCTTCTTTGTTGATTTATCATCATTGCTTGTAAACTAGAAAGAGGTACTTAAAAGGTGCAATTGTCTGACCTCCTGCTTTTGGCCTTCTAAGAGGCCCGAAGCCCGATGTTCTTTTCCAAGTGGTTAGCCTGGGAGTCACAAGCCTGAATTGAGTGACAAAAAACATCGGCTACACCAAAAACACCTTGCTGGAAACCAATGAGATGGCGGTCCCATAGAACGGAGCATTTAGGGGGGGACGAGTGGGGCTGGTCGCACCACGAGGTGATGAAGTTGGTTGAATCTGCGCAAGAGGACCTGTACCTCCGGATTGGTGGGCGAAATTCTGCGACGAAAAAGGCAGGTAAATAGATTGCTTGCTATACATGAAGCTGAAGAAGTAAAAAAAATGTAACAAAGACCTTCTCTTACAACTAAAGTAAGTTTAGCCATTGAATGAAGCTGCTGGAAGTTTTTGCCTTGCTTACGAAAAAGGCATTGGTTTGAGTATGAGGGCATGTGGGGCCAGAAAATGCTGTTTGTTTCATCCAATTTTCACAAAAAAAAATGTATCCCCTATATTCACATAAAACTGCTGGTGTTCATCCCCATATTTTTTCCGGTTAACACCTGCATCTTTGGACAAATTAAACATCGGAATAATTTAAACTATATCGGTTATCTCCTCATGAATTTCATGAATGTCTCACTTAGGACATTACCATCCCCCCAACTTGCCTTCTGGTAAACGTTTCCATAACTATGGAAAAGCACCATTTTATAGCTGGGTAAATCAACGATTTCTATGGCAATTTTCAATAGCTATGTTAAATTACCAGAGTGCATCTAATTTACTATGGTTATATATATATATATTACCAATAGAATGGATATTTGGATATATTATTATTACCAATTTCACATAGAATTTACTATGGTTATATTACAGGAAATGGGTATACCATCCCCACAGTTCGACCAGGATGACCTCCGTGTGGTGATGATGAAGTTCGACCCCACGCGGACAAAAGATGGAGCCTGGGTAGATCATACCGAAGCAGGTGGGAAATCGATCGGTTTTTAGATGGGCCAAAATGTTAAGTGCAATAATGCATCTATTATGTGTGATATTATGTATATCTATTACATATCAACATTAGCAATTTTGTTTATATAAATGCATTGATTGTTTTAATTGTTTTGGGCCATCTTCAGTAAATCCTATAGTCCTAGTCATGAATAGCATTCTAATACCATAAGTAAGGATAACGATTTTGACAAAACAAACATATTATTATTCCTTATTTTGGATATTGGCAAATCATCATGAAGGGTAATGACCCCTCCAAAAAAATAAGGGGTGATCCTTGGCCAGCCCTAAGGATCTACTTAGGCCCTGGTCAGTCAACTGGTCATCGTAAGGGGATTAATTATATCTCAATATATGCCCACAGCTATTATCATTTGGTAATTTGTTACAGATTGCGAACTGGAAGCCATTGCCCATTTAGTTCTATGATTTGCCGCTTGTTAAAGGATGGTTTTCCATAGCAATGTTAGATTGCTATGAGAAGGTAGATGGAATCGGGTGTTAGCATCCGGCGACCACCCAGTTAACAAACGCCATAGCCCATCTAAGTGAGGCTGGGTTTGGACCGACATCACCGGTAACATGTCTGTCGGTTTGTCCCCAAAAAAAAAAGGTGGATTTATATAACGGAATCTAAGCAACACAAGAGGCGCACGTTTTGGGTGATAGTGCACACATATTGCGTTGTTTGAAGCATGTGTAAGTATTGTCGTTTTGATGTGGCCGTTATATTTTAAGGTAGATGCAATATGATGCATTTTGTGGTTTTTTCTTGACCCGTGTTAAACAGGACCCCAAAATGACGCCATTCCCGTAATCAAACATGGCAATGGAAAACCACGTATTTATATAGATGATGTTCCTATTGCCATGTTTGATTAGCGGAGGATAGATCTAACGCAAAAGCCGTGTTTTACAAGGGGTGCGCGTCTCGCTTTTTGAGGAAACGTGGCGGCGCGGCTGGTGAGTTTCCTGATACCTGGCGAAGATCAGTGGGCAGTGAACATCAATGAACATTGAGCTATTATTTATATATATATATATATTTATTTTTATTATTATTATTGTTATTATTATTATATATATAATAATTATTATTATTATGCTATTATACCATGTTCACCAAGGATTTTCCATGATTTTCCTGCCCTTGACACAGCACCATGTTTGCTTTTGCCTGGGGCTGACCTCGCTGAGTTCGTCCGTGATCCGCACCAGCAACCGCGATGGCGGGGAGCCGTTCAAGGCCCTGGTGCCGGACTGTTCCGTCCCGGAGACGCTTGGCGCGGTGATGTTTCGGGGGCTGTTTTCCACTGGGAAATGCACCAGAAATGGGGGATGAAGGGAAGTCTATGGAGAAGATGTGTTTTATTTCTGGGAAGCCCAGAATCGGCAAATCCAAGTCATGTGTCTAATGTTTGAGTTTGAGAAAATGAATTGATCTGGATAAATTATAACGAGTTGACCACAAACATCAGGACGTGATTGGTGGGAATTGGGGGAATCATCCCCACGTGGCCGAACGTTTGAGGCTTGTGAATTAAATGGTTTGAGGATGCTTGAGGAATAGTGATCCAGGGTTGAAACCACCGACCTGTAGATGATTAATATCTTATCCGATTGAAAAATCTCAGGGTATTCAGGCTCCTGAAACATCCAACGTGTTGTTTTCTCCTTGAAACTGCATGTGACCCCAGCAAGATCATTTCGGATGTGTGATTTGCTTGTGCAGACACCATGACAGGACCGAAGGTGAAGGAAATTTTGGGAGCATTTGGTTCAAGCTCATAAAGACTGCTGATGTATTATATGCCACTGACCACTGCGGATCTATATCACACATGGATACAAAGATTACAAAGGTCATTTTTTCTGATTTGATCAACCAGGAGTCTGGGAGACCTCCCATCATCCGAAACACATTGCTACCACCATGCTACCACCAAGCCTCACCAGGCGAGATGTTGGTCGAGTGCTTGGGGAGCGAGGCACTACCATGAAGAATATCGTGGATTCGGCCGCTTGATTGAGCCCAAAAACTGTTGGAAACTGCCTGGAGATTCGCTTGGAAAGCTAGATGTGAACCTTACAAGTTGGGCCCCCGTTGATAGGAAACGGTTTGTAAGTTGGTTGAGAACGAGTGTATCAGGAAAGTGCAAACCTGGTTGACTTAACAAGTTCCATTTTAATTTCGGGAAAGCATTTAATTCAGCACAGCCAGAGTAGACCACGAGGAGGTAATGATTGATCAAATCCAGGTCAAATTGGGATTTTGAGGACGTCCTAAGTTTGATGACGAGTGTAGAGCAGCTTCAAGGGTTCTCATTTGATCCATCGCTCGAAACCATTGATTTAGTTGTTCATCACAAACAAACATTAACCTTGTCAACACATATTCCTCTACAGTACCTACTGCATCCTACTGTATAGAAAGATAACCCGAACCAATAGTGGATGGAGTTTGGCCACACTTTGAATTCTGGCCTAGGGGATATTCGACAGGAATTTATACCACGTTTATGCCGTTGAGAATTACACACTTGAACACACTTGAACGCAGGGAATCAACAAACCAACAGGCTTTTAGTTTCCCAAAAAATCCATAGTGCCCCAATGTGCCCCATAAGTTTTGACTAGTTATATCAATTGTCCCAAGAAAAGAAAACACAAGGTCAACTGATCATTTTCCCATCATTTTCCCAAGATTATCAACTAGTTATATAATTCTCCTATCATGTTCCCATCATTTTCCCATCTTCCCAAGCCCCGGGCGCCCCGGGCCCCCCAGGTGTGTCAGGCCATTGGCCACGAGCGGCAGCACGGCCATCGGCCCATCCTGCAACTGGCCTACAGCGGCGGTGCGACACGCTTCGAGCTGCTCTTGTACCACGGAGCTGGGGGCGGGCTGGGCACCGGGAGGGGAAGTTTACAGCTCCGGGAAGGTGGTATGAACCAAAGGATTTCATGGTTTTAATGGTTTTAATAAGATTTAATGGTTTTAATGGTACATTAATATTAATGTCCAAAGGATTTCATGGTTTTAATGGGACATTAATATTGAGTAAGCGACAAACTTCGCGAAAGACAAAGGTAGTAGGGAGTGGACTTGGGATGTTGAAATTTGTGCGAAAACCTTCACAATTCATTAAGAAGTGATTTTGTCCGCCACTGATTCAACGGGTTAATGAAACCATATATACATATAATCATATATAATCATATATAATCATATATAATCATATATATATACACATATATAGTCTTAAATATATAGTCCCTTTCCCTTCAAATGTCTCCAAATGAAGGTTGAAAAAAGGATTGTGTACTGGGTGTGGTTTCTTGGAGTTATGAACTAACTGGTGGTTTTGAACATGGTTAGATGCAGGTCGTATTTGACGCCTCTACTGAGATGACGGTCCCAAATTGACGAGACGTACAGGCCCCTGGTGATAAAATCATCGAGCTACATGGGCACTATATACTATATACCATAGCTATATGACAAATTACCGGAGTGTATCAAGAATTGCTACCCTCCAGCAAATCAATTGATAACCATGGAAAACGCCAGGGAACCATGGTAATTCATGGCCGTTTTCTGAGCAACCCCCAAAAAGGCCGAAAAGGTGTCAAACCAGGATGGTCGTTCGATGATTCATTTACCTCATAATATGAGTTTCCAGGTGTCTAACTATAAATTTTCATTTCTAGGGCATTTCGCCATATTTTGCCGCAGGTTTTCGAGTTTTTCCCATGTTTTTTCCATGGTTTTCTCAGGTTGTTCCACCGAGGTATCCGCCCTTCAACGACCAGCAGAGCTTTGAAAAGGCCACGGATGCAGTGCAGAAGATGGTTCACGAAGCTTGGCATCGAATTGGTATTACGGAATGTTAATCGGATTTAATGGGATTTTTCATGGGATGTTATAGCGATTTAATGGGATTTAATTGGATGTTATAGCGATTTAATGGAATATGAATGGGAGGTCACATGATGTTATAGTGATTTAAGGGGGTATTCATGGGACAAATGGAGGTTTAATGGGAGAACATTCAGCCATCCCCAAATTTGTAGGTTTATTATTGGGTTGCCAACATTAAGCCAGTTGGAAATTGTGGGGGATATGGAGGTTTCCAAAGTCATGGGGGTATCCCAAATCATCCAAACAATTGAAGCATTTTGGATATACAGAGATATACCTGGGATTTCAATGGGAATTCATAGTGATTTAATGGGATATTGATAGGATAAATGGAAGTTTCATGGATTTGAATGCTATATCTCCTCCGGAAATCCAAGATGCCAAGCTGGAAAATCCCGTAGAAATAGAGGTTTATAGCTGGGAAAATCATTTGGAATTGGTGAATTTTCCAGCACCCCATGTTTGACTTAAGTGACTTAAGTTGGCTTATGTTATATTCCCCCAATTTTCATCAATTTTCCATGTTCTTCATAGACCGATCCTTTTTTTTCTCAGCTTGGAAAGCACCACGCTTTCCTCCCACAGGAAATCATGGAGAATCCCTCGCACTGGGCCTTCAGCACCTGCAAGCGGCCGCCGCGACTGCAGTACGACGATTGGTCCTTCGTCGTCGGCGAAGATCCAAAATCGCTGGATGAATCAATGGGGGAGTACCTGAGAGCACCCTTAAAAAAACATCATTAATATGCCAAATTAATGGGAATAATTGGCCTTGGCCTTTTTATGGAAGGTAATCAATTCGGACTGTTTTACTATTTTTGGTTCTAGGGATAGATCCATATGATGGTAGATAGGGTTATTAAGGGAATATTATGGACGATCATTAATTCGGAATATGTTTGAACATAGGGAATTAAGACCCCAATTGATAAGGGATACTAGAGGGATTTAACCAACAAATATATAATAGCCATGATGGATGATAATGTGAGATTCACTCAGTGCCATAAACCTTGGCTGTTTACCATCTATTTCTGGTTGGGGATGGTTTCTCGCATTGGGCTTACCATATTGCATTGGGCGAAGCCTGGTGAGGTAGCACAACTTCATTGACATTGTGATGGTTGTACAGAGATACCCCTCCGGTAATCAAACGTGGCGTGCTGGAAAATCCCATATTTACTTCCATGATCTTGCCATTAAAACTACCATTTATCGAGGATATCCACGTGCCATGTTGAATGACCGGAGGAAAGATGAATGGCCTATAAAGACATGCGTTTTTTGGGCCGTTTTTTTGGCCGGTAGGCGTTTTTGTTGGCTCTTCTGATAGCTTTGGGATGACCTTCATGGGACAGGAACTCCAGGGATGGTGAAACAACCACAATGAGAATGAAACCAACAAACATAGATGCCAAAGTGGCAACCCAATTCATATTCCATACACATCTGCATTTGAAGTGACAATGTATTCTTTATGTGGAAGATGGATTGCCATTTTGCCATTTGCAACGGGAATCGCTCTTGGAAACCAGGTCCTGTCTCACCATGATCCAATCAACAAGCTGCCTATGTGTGCTGTTTATATCAAAAAGTTTAGTTGCTCGTTGTAGTTGCTGATGCTGATTCTTGATTTTGACATGACTTCGTGACATCCAGCCCACTTTCAGCACTAAAGATAGGTACTGTAACTTCAACAAGTTATCGTATAGAAATCCTGGCATTGAAGAACAGAATATGCAGCGCAGCATAGCGCAGCAACGCATTTTCCGCCGGGCAAAGGTCCACCATTTGGGAAAACTATCGCAGAAGATCCAAGAGAGAGAGAGAGATCTAAATCGTAGATACATTGGGTTTATGGTAGATTATATGGTAGATTATAGTTGATTGGGTGTCTAAAGCAACACTTATAACTGGGGGGCACTACCTTGTAGACGTGCTTTTCCACTAGACTTCACAAGAGGGCCCAAGATTCGGAATATGGGAGAAGAACATTTTCACGCAATTTCCGGGAGAATGTTCTAATAGAGGGGTCACCCTCATTGAACCACCAATAATAGGTCAATAAATGATTACAAATGTAATGAATGTTATACCAAACAAGCCCCCCTGTTCCCGAAAGGACGTTGAAACTGGGCATTGATATAGGTGTGGTTGAAACTGTGGTGCCCCTAAATCCTAATCACCAATATCCGAGTAGCAGTCATAAATTCTTGGCAACATCTCCATTATCCCCATTGTAGCCTGATTCTATCCCAATCTCCCCAAGCGAAATCCAAGTTTTCCCGATCTAAATTCCATTAAATTCCCACATATGGTTAGATTCATTAACCAATGGTTTAAGGGACCATTCACAGTAAAACCCTATAGTTCATGGTAAACACGTTTCCGGTGAAGATTTTCCCTTAACTAGACCAACCCATTGATATGATATATCTATGTGTTATATCCTATATCCCACATTCCCATATCCCCACCTTCGCCCCGCCATGCCGCTGCCATGCTTGTCAACCCCAGGACTTGCCCCAACCGGCGCTGTGGCAACATTTGCTTCGCACGGCGCACGCAGTGCAACTTGTGCGGCGCTGAAAAACCCACGGACTGGACACCAGCGCATCTGAAGCAGGAGGAAGGCGCCGGGTTTCGTTGATGGGGATCGGGAGTCCAAGAACCGGGGATTTTTGACCGGGGAACCAGTGAAGTTGCCATGTGTATGGGGGGATCTAAACAAATGTTGATGTGTTTTTTTTTTTGTGGGGATATATATATATATATTTAAATATATGGATATATTATATGATATGATCACGTATGCTATTTATGGGAATGTAAACCGACAATAATGGGGATTTAGCCAACACATATCACATATAATATGAGGCTATTGCTAGGTCAGCCACCTGGATGCATTCGTTCAGTACTTTGATTGTCTACACATGGGGATACCCTTCGGCAAAACGCGGCTAGCTGGGAAATTCCCGCAATAAAATGCAGGTCTTAATGGGAAATTTCTCGAACTAAAGTGTTTTTTGTTCATTGCGATGGTTGATTAATTACTGGAGGGTATGTACTAATCATGCGTTTCCTTTTGTAGCGTGCCCAAGATTGTGAATGGAGAAACAAATGAGGGGGCAACCCACAGATGTCCATTTCCGTTGATAGATGGGCCCCTTCCAAGTTTTTGACAACCAATGGGCAAACGATCAAAATTCGTATACCAACCCCGGCCCGCTAAATTCAGCTCATCGCTGACTATATATATATATACATAAACTATAGGCCCGAAGGCTAGCTGTTTGGTTGCCAATTGGGGGGATCTAGCCTCACAGGGGGATCATTCCGCAAGTGTCTTTGCTGAGTGGGTTGAAAGAGGCTATCGTCAAGCCGCTTTCCACGAAGTTCGAGAATCATCGCACAGTTTTTTTGCTGTGGAACAAAGAAAGTGGATTCCCCAAGGCATCTCATCTTGCAATTGACTTATAATGGACAATTGCCCTTTTTGAGATGCTGTTCCCTTAAGACATGGGAACTTTCTGCTGCTGTAAAGGGGCTACTTCGGGGTCCCTTTGCCACATGCATTGAAATATATTGAAATCCATATTGAAATCCATATTGAAATCCATAGTACTCCACAATTTGCCGGCGAGATCATCATTGACTTCCCAAGTTTGTTGCCACACGTGGAGGTCAGCTTCACATCGGGGACGTGGAGTGGGGGAGGCAGAAGAGGATCCGACACCTGGCGCTTTTTATTGTGCAATATTTTCCACCGAGCCAGGTTTGACTACCGGAGGCTGATTAGATAATATGATGAATATATGTGTGTGTTAATATATTCTGTGTAATATAACATAGGTTAATTTTATATATAATATAATTCTAGGCTAAATTATTATGTTCATATATATAATATATATTGGTTTATATAGACTATGCATGTCTATGAATACATTTATGATCATATGTATTGATGTCATTGTTTTCCTGCTCAAACAGATGGCGATGAATGGCACTTCCTATCATCCAATTCGAAAATACCATTTCCTTACGGCTCACGGCATCTCATGGCTTCCGTAAAATACACACATTCGCCCAGGATGACAAATGTCATGGGCTCGGGTTGAAACCCCTTAAACAACCAGCAGGATTGATTTGAGATACTGTTTGAGATGATTTAATGGAACATCTATACAGGAAACACGGAGGCTTCTAAAAATATCAGGATAAATCAGGAGACCCGTGGTTTTGACCATCACGGACATTCGGGCTTTCAACATGTTTCTCCTCAAAACTAATTCACATGGATACCATTTAAAAGAAACACACATCTTTGGACGAGGTTTTTTTTCCAAAGATCTAAATGGATAATGGGAAGTGTCCAGCATCGCCATCATTTGTTGAAGTTGAAGGAATCTCCGAGGTGGTGAAAACCAGGGGGCTATCGTGTCTCCCAAATCCAGTCCATTCCACCGGGAGATTTGGTGAAGGGCTACTGTAGTAGTTGCCCCAGTTCGGAGTCGTATTTGTATACATATAATCATATATGTATAAATATATATATATAATCATATATATAATCATATATATAATCATATATATATATTGGACTATTCATGGTGGTTCTGAACAAACAAACATCACTTTACAGGGCACCAGCCTTTTTCGGGGATTCCAGCATGGTGTTTCTTTTCAACCACCAACCTGGCGGCCAAGGAGTGATGGAGACCAAAGACGTCTACAAAGATCTGGAGGTCCCAGAAGCTCTGGCTATTTCGCTATTGAAAAATGATTTGAATCTGGGGAAACAATGGGAAACATCCAAACTTTAGGCTGATGGTTGAACATTGAGCCAAAATGAGATTCAAAAACCATTGAACAATAGCTATTGAACAATGGCTTCAGCAATGGTTGGAACGATTAAAATGGCTAGCTCAATGGCTATTTCAATGCTTTGGACCTGGGGAAAAAGCCAAACTTTTGCTGATGGCTTAACTTGGAGCCAAGGTTGGAATTCAACCCAGCCCCAATGGGGGTTTAACCAACCAAGAGTAGACAAGGTGATTTATAGCCAGGCAAACTATTGGGTTTGGGGACCCAGTCTGTATGGACTTTATGGTTTGCACCCCAGATCGCAACACACTGAGGCATGGAGCAAAATCATTGGGACATGGCAATACAAATCAAACATACAGGGTGCAGCCCCCTAGATAGCCAAGTTGACTTGTAACTTGGCTAATTAGGCTTTATTGGGGCTATAGCTATAGTTAAAGGGGGTCTATAAACCAACTTATAATTATAATTGGGGGGGGCACCTTGTAGAAACTATGCTCTCTCAAACCAGGCCCTTTTTCCATACCCCTTCATCTTCACAGCGTGACTCCCGTGAGCAGCATGCATTTTGCAAGGTTTTTTCAGCACAAAGCAGCAATTTTAAGATTTCCTGTGGCATTAAGTAGGGATTATACCATTCCAATTCCCCCGGATTGTATTTTATATATATATATACATACACCCTATATTACCCTCTGGTAATTTAACGTAGCTATGGAAAAACACAATTTTTAATGGGAAAATCCACTATAAATAGCCATTTTCAATAGCTATGTTAAATTACCAGAGGGTAAATCAGATTGATGAATGGTAGGCCAAGTTTCCCCCTTCATTGTGTGTGAGCTTTCAGACCACTGCTCCAAGGAGGGCCATTGTCGAAGCTCGGCAGATTTGAAGCTGCTCCCGCTGAATCCCACTCCCCAATGGGAATAACTTGCTCGTTGTTTTTTAAAGGACCCCAATGTTGAACAAATCCAACAGATTCCAAAGCATTCAGGGATTCTGAGGGGAGGATCACCCGAAGATGCCGAAGATGCAGGTCCTACATTTGCAGATACCCTATGCCCGGTTGTGTGTGATACAGGTTTTCCTTAGTAGCTTGGGGAGCACTGATGAATTTCAACGTTTTTGTCAAACCACGACACTCAAAATACCTCATTTACATGGCCCAGATGCTCCATGCACAGGATAAGTTTCCAATATTTACTGTAGCTTTAAACATCACCCAGATGTAGGTGAATATACCATACATTGAGCACATGGGTGGGTAAATGGATACCCTAGACAGAGACATATTTTTTTCAAGCCAAGTTGAGGGCCGTGTCCTCAATAGCGGCAAAAGGGAAATCATGACCAAAACTGTGTCATTTCATTAGAATGGTGGGAATTGGATCGTGGTAGCTATCCCAAAAATGGCCGATGTTTTCATGCCAGTGAGTGGTTAAAATCTATCCATCCAGACATTGGTCATGTCATGTTTTGTTTCGTTTGGATTTAGTCATCAATGTCCCTAGGTCTATTCACCAACAAAAAGGGGAAAGAGTCATCGAGGATGGTTGATGTCTTATTTTGAGATTGTGAGACTATGACATGCGGAAGCATATGAAAACAAATCCTATCCCGGCTATCCCCCTAATATATCTAATATCGAACACTCCCCAGCAGCCATGGTTTAGTAGGAGATGTTTGCACATGTAGGGACCATACAGTGGGGGTGTTTAATATTATATAGGGACATGGGATTATGTTTGTCATTGCAAAGTCAACAAGAAATGTCATAAAGTCACCCCATGACGATAGACACGTCCCGGACAACGGCCAATTCATTCTGATCCATCAAATTAACATAGCCATGGCAAGCCCAGCTTTTTTCCGAACGGGAAGCCTACGGATTTCCATATCTATGTTAGCTTACCAGATGGTACCTGTTTTTTGGCATCCCATGGGATGATAGCAACAGGCTTTATGAAGGGATTAACAACCAACGAACCCAACGACCACTAGGAATTGCTTGTCATGGCTATGGTTGGGTTTATGCCATGTTGGTTGGTTCGATCACCAACCAAAAATCCTTTCAAATTGCCATTGATCGATGGTTGCTCGGGCTCATTCAATCCCTATTCACCCATTATTATCCCAGTATTATCTCATCATTTTCCCATTACTGGCCCATTCTTAAAGCATCGTTTTCCCACTATTTTCCCATTATTATCCACTTATTATCTAACCATTATCCAATGACTTTCTCATTATGACTATAATTCCATTTATGTATAACCATAAATAATGATTAATCCATATTAATCCAGTTATTATCATTATTATCCCCTTATTGGTTGTCAATTTAACCATTAATTATTGGGGCGTTCCAAGCCATTCCAGGAGTCGTCTGGCTGATTCCCACTGAGACACTGCCGATCGTGAAAGGTCGTGGCTTGCACGACGCTTCCCTGCCATTTTCTTGGGATATGTGCGGTCGGGCAGGAGGCAAAGCTAAGGTGAATGTTGGGATTTGTGGATTTTGAGGATTCATGGGGATTTATAGGCAGTTCTAGTGATTTATGCGGATTTATGGAGGTCTATGAGTATTTATGGTGATCTCAGCCAGCAAGAATGCGGATTTTAAATCATACTGCCAATGAAAACCATGAAATTATAGTTGCAGGGATATCAAATTTCCATTTATTTTCCTTTTCCATAAGAAATGCAACATTTGAGATCCATCTTTTTTGGAGGCTTACTGCATGCTTAGGCAAGTCCATAATGATGATTCGTCCCCTTTGGTAATCTAACCTGACAATGGAACATACCATCGCCTGAGCGTATTTCTTTGAAACAAGGGTGGAAGTGATGGAGGTTGAGAAGGAAGCAGTGGACCGGATTTTCCGGATTTTCGTGGACATTTTGCTGAGGGACCTGTGTTTGACATGGGTGCTCAGATAGGGTGATGTGAGGTTATCTTGCTGTGCAAAGACAGCAATGCAGCAATCACCCTTTTTGGGGCTTGGGCAACTAACAAACCGCAGGAGGCTTTCGAGCCCTTCATTCGCCATAATCTTCCCTAGTTCCCAATCGTCTTCCGCATCTACGTCACTAGAATAGTGCCCCAATAATAAACTTCCAATTGGGTCTGAATGCTTGATAAATGTATATGCGATGGCTTATGAATTTACAATAATTACTTTTTTTTGATCAGGTCGTGCCTTGAATATAATAAGAGATTCTGTTTTCTGCCTTCCCTATGCACCAAGTGTCCAGTCGTACCATGATGGCAACCCAGGAGATCAAACAGAAGTCGGGGGTCGACACACTGTTGGTCACCCGGGAAGTGGAATGTGATACCTACTTCGGTGTGGAGTACGTGCCTGCGATGAACGACTGAGTCGGGGTGGGGTTTTTGGAGCAATGGCTGGACTGGATGATTTCGTTTTGGAACCCTACAAGAGATAGAAAAGACACGAACATGCAAATGCTATTAAATTACAGTTGCAAATTGCGGTTCCATTTTTTGTGGTTAATATAAATCAATTCACTGTCATGTCGGATATTGTTTATGTTGATTTTCAGCCCCATACAGCCTCCCAAGCACTTGTCAATACCAAATGGGTGATGATACATATGTGGCTGGTAATCCATATGTTAAATCATGGATATGGGATATTGTTAGGTCAACTGGATAATTAGTTAGTTTGGCATTTGGCACCTTAGTCTTTTACTATGAAGGATAGATATATATATATATATACACAAGACATAGGCAGGACATTAAGATAGATAGATAGATAGATAGATAGCTAGATAGGTAGGTAGGTAGGCAGGTAGATAGGTAGATAGGTAGAAAGACAGACAGACAGACAGATAGGTAGATAGATAATCATCCTGAAGTAGATAGAATATGGGTTTTGTGTATAAAAGCGCACTAGAATCTGGCAATATCTTTGAAAAATCGATATTCTATCTACATATTATATATATACTTCAGGACGATTACCTTCCAGTAAGCTAAGAGTTATATGCAAACTGCACATATATATATATATATACATACATGATTTACCTATTGAAAGTGATGATGTCCCATAGCTATGCTAATTTACCAGAGGGGATACCAACCAACCTGGAGCCTCCAGGGTGACCTTGAAACTTTGTGGATCTTTGAGCAATGGAAGATCCCCTGTAAATGGATATGTTTTAATGGCAGATGCTGGGCTTTATGGTGATTTAACCATGAAACACTGTGTCTTTATGAGGATTCAGCCAGCAAAAACAATAGAATATTTGCTTTTGACCGAGAAAATCTGGGATTTATAGACGATTTATATAATACACACATATATATATATATATATACATATATATGTATATGTATGTATGTATATGTGTGTGTGTTGATTTTTGTTTGCGATCCTACCAACATGGTTCATGCGGTTAGGGCATGATACAACACTGATCAGTTGGGTTTACATGGTGTTGGTGAAGCTTTAAAGTCGCCACTGCAAGTAGGGTCATCCTACATCCACCTTCTGTCGGTAAAGCTATAGCGGAAGTGTTCCCATGTTCGGTAAAGCTATGGCAATCTTTATAGGGGTCAGCAATTCCAGTGAACCATTACTGGTTGGTGGTTTGGAACATGGCTTTTATTTTTCCCATATCATATATTGGGAATTTTATCATCCCAGCTGACTTTCATATTTTTTCAGAGGGGTAGGTCAACCACCAAACAGATTAGGTACTGTAAGTGCTTAGTAAATATCCCATTGAAGTCCTGTAAGTGGTTGATAAATGGGTCTATAACCCATTTTTTTAAAGGGATAGCCCAGGAAAATCCAGGAAATTTCAGTGAACCATTCGTTGTTTAAGGTTGGGTCTTTGCCATTGTTGAAGGGAAGCTCTGCAGCCAGTTTTTTTGTTTTCAAAAGCTGTTGGTTTCTGGTAGATCGTCACCTTTGTACCACCAAGGTCTACCCTGCTCTCACTCCTGTAAGCCAACATATTAGTGGAAAAGCCACCTTTTATAGATCATGTGCCGATATTTCAAGGTTTCCCCATGGGTTTTCCACCTCTTTTTGGACCAGTTTAATACCACCCCACAGCGCAGCATCCCTTGTGGAAGATCGCCAGAGGTTCAAGCCTTTTGCATCGGAAGTCCTGCTTGTACTAAGAGTGCCATTTCCATGACTCTCTGCTGCGCCTGAAACGGGGGCCTAGGCTGGGGTTCTGTAGATGTTCCCAGAAATACACCCAAATGTTGGCCTAATGATGTTTAAGCCTCAATATTCCCCTATATTCCCATAAACCAATATTCCCATAATTCCCAAGAATATATTCCCAATACACCCAATATTCCCCCTATATTCCTATGATACCATAATAGAATAACCTCATCTGATGATTTTCCCAATGTGCTGGGCCATGTATCCCATGATATTGCCATGATTGTCCACTTCAAAGATCCCTAATATTCCCATCAAACAGTTAGTTTCCCCATATCCGAATAGCCCCGAATATCAGTTGAATCTTTAGTAGTGGTTTCCCCCGTTATAATCCTATACAATCCCATCAAATCTCAGAGAATACCATTGTGATCCCTGCAAAAATCCCGAACAAATATGCTCCAAAACCATCATTCCAAACAGTTGGCTGGTGGTTTGGAACATGACTTTTATTTTCCATGTCATATTTGGGATGTCATCCTTCCCATTGACGAAGTCCATCATTTTTCAAGATGGTTATAAAACCACCAACCAGTATTATTATTAACCATCATTAACCATTATTAACCATTATTAACCATTATTAACCATTATTAACCATTAAATCCCATTAAATCCCATTAAATCCCATTAAATCCCATTAACCTTGCTGTTTCATGATGTTCAAGCCCCATCTTCCCACGGTCGGTCCTGAGGATCCACAACGAAGCCTCCGGTCGCTTGAGCGAAGAAGGCTTTCACGAGCTGATCGATGCCATTGAGGTGACAGCTGGGGATTCAAGAAATGGTGAGATTAAAACACACAAAAAAAGACTGTGATTTTATATATATATAAGATTATTATGGATTTAATGCATGTATGTATAAACTATTGTGTTAATTCATTTATGTATTTACTTGTTTATTTTTACTTATGTATATATATATATATATGTTGTGATTAAGCCACAATACTAGGGATTGAATTCCACGACACGTTTCTGTTTTTGAAAAGAAAACTGCATCAGGATAAAACATTTTCCCTCGTGAGGGCTCAAGGTGGGCCCAGCAAAGCAGCTGGTTTATGAATTTTTAAGCCCATGAAGTATATTTATATCGTGATATATCTACCATATATATATATACCATATATATACCAATATATGTCGTGCTAGTTTTTCAGGTTATAATGTGTGATTCCCCACCTGCCAGGTGAGGGTTGTTAGATTTTATGTCAGTTGCCTGCTCCTCTCCTCCTCTCCTCTCCTCCTCCTCCTGCTCAACCGCGACCCTCGACGCACAGTGTTCTCTGTCGGACCTCAACCACGACCATCCACGCCCAGTGTTCCCTGCCGGACCTCAACCACGACCATCCCCGCCCAGTGTTCCCTGCCGGACCTCAACCACGACCATCCACGCCCAGTGTTCCCTGCCGGACCTCAACCGCGAGTATCCACGCCAAGTGTTCCCTGCCGGACCTCATGTAGGAATGTCAGATAGAATGCCATGAGATATGCCAGATAGAATGCCAGATAGAATGCGAGAAGATATGCCAGATAGAATGCCAGAAGGTATGCCAGATAGAATGCCAGATAAAATGTCAGATAGAATGCCACAAGATATGCCAGATAGAATCCCAGAAGATTTGCCAGATAATATGCCAGATAGAATGCCAGATAGAATGCCAGAAGATATGCCAGAAGATATGCCAGAACATATGACAGAAGATATGCCAGATAGAATGCCAGAAGATATGCCAGATAGAATGCCAGATAGAGTGCCAGAAGATATGTCAGAATATGTGCCAGATAGAATGCCAGATAGAATGCCAAATAGAATGCCAGAAGATATGTCAGATAGAATGCCAGAAGATATGCCAGATAGAATGCCAGAAGATTTGCCAGATAGAATGCCAGTAAGAAAATGTATAAATGTCATGGTGGGGATCACACGAAGTAAAGTAATTTTTTAGTTATTTTTAGCAGCTTAGCCAATGGGTCTCCGCTGCGGTGATCCCATTGGCGAAACAGACCCTGTCCGAACTTGTTCAACGAAGTTTGTATATAATTCAGAAATATTAACTATACATTTAGATATATGTATATAATTATAGAGAGAGAGATGCAGCATGCACATAGTTATGTTCAATTATATGTGTGCATCTTTATATATGTTTTTTTACGCACATGTATTTGTATCAATGTCTTGTCTTATCTCCCCTTGGCCTCCAGTGGTCCAGTCGTCTCCAGGAAGCTTTGCCTAGAGTGGAGGATGAGTTCGAGCAGGGCTTCGTTGCCCTGTCCTTGATGGAGCTGTTGAACCAAGAGAAGTTGCATGGCTCAGTTGTGGGACTTGGACAGGTTGTTGCATGAAGTCATATACACATATATTTATATATATATATATCATATATATATATATAAGTGTGTATACAATTACATGTGACACATTATGTGTGTGTAAGATGGGCTATGCCAACTTCATAGGTTATTTCATAGTTACTTCGTGTACATATATATATATATACATTTCCAGTATGCCAGCTTGCAGATATCATTACCAAGGTTCTACCCATAAAAATCCCCTCAGCTGCACCAGGTCTTGGATACTGCATGTTGAATGGATATGAATGGATGCTTTTTATTGGCATAGAGATGGAACAAATAATGGTAATAATTATTGAGTAATGTATGAATGGATCATTTTCCATAGCTATGTTAAATAACCGGTTGTGATATGAGTGGTGGATGGGATGGGGTAGAATGGTCATTTTGTGGGGGCACCACGGGGGGTACAATTGGATCGTAATGATATAACAATGGTTTTCATGGTGGCCCAAATCAGTATTTCATCAATTTCAATGGAATGTTTACATTCCAGGACCCACGATTCAGTCAACAAAAACAGAGCGTTTTCTACTTTCCCTGAGCCTAGCAGGAGAGCAGAGACTTTCCCAAATATGTTCCAATCATGGGGTTACCAGGTGGTGCCCCCTACTTAGCTTGGCTGGTGTATAACCAACAATCAACATAAGTAGCGTTTTTTATTCTAGAAATTTGTATCGTGAATGGGTGTTAATGGGGTTGATAAACCATTTTTGTGGTGTATTGCAGCAATGTCTATATCTACAATTTTTCATTAGAGACTAGAGATATATCTCCAATATAACTGCAGGTACACCTAGCTGGTTGTTCATTTGTTAGTGAAAAATCCACCCTTTTATAACGGTTAAATCCGCATGTTTTTTTCGGATGTCCTCAGGATCCGCGATGCCTGGGCGAAGACCAAAGTCCTTCGTGCTTTGTCACCAACATGGCGATAGACATGGCTGATTTATCAATCTTGGTTAATGTGGGATTTTATAGTGATTTAATGGGATTTAATGGGATTTTAAAATGATTTAATCGTATTTTATAGTGATTTAATGGTGTTTTATAGTGATTTAATGGGATTTTATAGTGATTTAATGGGATTTTATAGTGATTTAATGGGATTTAATGCTGGTTTAATGGGATTTAATGGTGGTTTAATGGGATTTAATGGTGATTTAATGGGATTTTATAGTGACTTACTTGGGATTTTATAGTGATTTTATATAATCGGATATCAATGGGAGATGGTGGAGGTTAATCTTGTAAATACCCAAGAATAAATGGGAAAATCTTCCATAACATCGAGTTTGTACTAGGAAAAGCATCTATAACATGGGGTTAACATCCAAAACGTTGGGATGTTTACTGGAATGATTCACCCAACACTGTGAATATAGCTAACAAGAATTGGGATGGCACTTGGGAATAATTTGGGTAAACCCAATGCCATAAACCTACAATTGTGGGGATGATTTTTACCGCTGATGTACGGTAATATTGGGAATCTTAGGGAGTGTTTATATTATTGGTTTTAACACATTCATGGGAAACCAGGTAAATCCAAATGGGGTGGAAACTTGGACCAAATGACCATGCATTTGATCTCAATTTTTCACCCTTTTGATATGAAGATGCGCTGACACGTTGTCTTTGTATACTGCTGCTCCGGTTGGTTGTGGGCTGCATTTTGTTTGTAGTGTGTTTTTTCTCCGGTTGGCACAGTTTCAAAGACCAGGCGGGCCTGGACCCAGTTTCCCCATTGCCAAATTATATCCGCATGTCATTGTTTCTAGCCCCTTATTTGTATGGGGGCCGCAAAGAGTAAGAAAAGTTTGCATGCTGAAGAACAATTCCAAACAAAACTGATTTGGAAACAAATGACTGCGAGGATTTCGTCATTCTACGTCGTTATAAGAACTCAATCTTGTCATTGATCTGTGGTTCACTCGGCCAGAGACATTGCTGGGAGTCCCCTGGGATCCTCCGCTGAGGACAAGGAACCGGCTTGAGGACTCTCTTGGAGGCAGGCCCAACTGGAAGAGGGGCTTTGGACAGGTCCCTTCGGCGGCTTACTTAGCATGTAGGATAGAAGCTTGTGGTAAGCAGGATGAAAACCGAGCCGAGACCCATTTGTTCGGAGGACCGTCATATGTAGTCATGGGTTCGGAACCAAGGCCGTATTTGGTACAGTGTAGTTTTACATTGGACGACTCCATGAATCAGTGATGTTATTTTATCCTGGTTCACGATAGGACATTCACTTGTTATTTGGGCGTAAATCGTTGCGCGCAACTGGGTAAGAATCAGTTCATTATATGGGATATGCAATGTGTATATCTATGTGTTTCTTTTTCAATTATTTTTTTGTTTATTAACTGTGTTCTTTTATATATATATATATGTGTGTGTGTGTAAATATATATATATATATATATATATGTATGTGTGTGTGTGTGTTTTAACTTAGTTTTATAGCAAACTGATTTCCCATGTGCCTAACAAGAAGACGAACAGATATAAACTACATGTGTAGGGTAAGAAACTTACCACTAACAACTATTCGGGAGTGCAGCTGTAGGAAGTGCGATCGGTGACATTCTTAAATGGTTATTTCATGGTTACTGCTTTTGTCACCTTGAACCTTTAGGCAATAACTCTGATCCCGTGCGACAGGCAGCATGTTCAACCAATGATTTGCTATGCTGTTTGATTGGTTTCGAACATTGACATAGCACGGGTTTTGTCTAGAAATAGGATACCTAAAATGTTGTCGTTTAAAGCTTCAAATGGTATTTTCCCAAATTACATTTTTTCATTGGAGAAACTCACGTTAAGACACAAATGCCAAAAGCGATGGTTCTTCCCCAGTTGATGGCACCAACATGTTTCCTTCCAAATACCCAAATTGTTTCCCTTTTTTCTTGACTGTCTATGTCTATCACTAACCTTTCATGTCCATCCCGGGAAAAACCCATCATGTTCCTACAACAAAGCTGAAAATCAACTGCATTTTGACTACAAGTTACTACAAGTTACTACAAGTTACATAGAAATCAAACAGTGGAACAGCGTTAGCCATCATGAATCTTATCTGGTTCAATCCCTGTTTTATCTTCAATCCCCCATGGCCAGGTTCTTAACCGCTGGCCCGAGTACTTCAAGACCCAAGCCACCGGCCCTGCGGGCGCCACGGTGTGCCGCACCGCGCAGCTGCGCGCCGGCGGCGGCCAGGCGCAACGTGCAGCGGAGGCGCGGGAGGCGAAGGTGACGCTTGGAGCCAGGGGTCGAGGCTGGGGGATGGGGGGGGATATAGCTTGGTAAAGCCAATCATAAACAATCCCATTACCCTCTGGTAATTTAACATAGCTATTGAAAATGGCACATTTATAGTGGATTTACCCATTGAAAATGGTGGATCTTTCCATAGTTATGTCAGTTTACCAGAGGGTAATTACCCATATGGTTATAATGAGCATATCATGGAAAGAACATCCATATTAACAAGAAAGGATATAATATCCATATGGCTGTAGTGTCTATAATGGGCATATCATGGAGAATATCATGGGAACATCATGAAAAATGTCCCAATATCATATGATTTTGGGATGGAATGGGATATCATGGGGGTATAGTTGGATTATAAATAGTACATGGCAAGATATTTTAGTTAACACCATATTTTCAGGGAAACCCATCTACCGGGTTCATGATCACATTACCTTTTAAGCCCTGAATGAATTGGGGAGAACAATCACCGCTGATTTTTCTGTTGGGATACCTTCCCATTGTGCAACAAACATATGTCCAACATAAAATGAGACCTTGCTCAATGCAAATGATGTGCAACGTAGCCCTCCCAAGTCACAAGCATCTAAAACCACTGACAGTTGGCTTAATAACAATTTACATATCCACGGAATCCCGCTTTCCAGGTTACCCAATGTTAAATTGTTTTACGTGATCAATTTGGATGCATACAATCACATTTGTGCATTTTTGAAAGGGGGCAAAGATGGCCCAGTCACAACTGCTTTGATTTTTTAAATGACCTACTTGCTAAGTAGGATCAAGTCACCAAATTTGAGAGTCAGACAAACTTGGGAGCGATAACATTCTGGATCCTTTCCACAGAGAAGGAGTTTGGTTCATTTGTTCACAATCTCCTTGGACCGGACGTCGCGGGTCAAATTCAATGAAGTACATTTGAAATGCATCAGGGTTGCAAGAAGTGAGATTGACAAAATGGAGGTCGAGAGCAAAGGTTTCCGCCAACATCGCCCCAAAAAAATGGAAATTAACGATTGTTTGTGGTTAACCACATCCAGCAAAACCCTTATCATCTATTGTGGTTAACTATGGGTTGATGAAATTCCGATCCATTTCAACAAGAAAACATTTTTCGGGATAAAGGGATGGATTTGTTTCGTGCTGGCAGTGCTGCAGCTGAGGAAGGTGCAAGACTACGATGAAGACAGTGACAGCTGGGATTGAAGAAAAAGGTGGCGAGCGGGCCCGTAGGAGGTTGTTCAAGGGTGAAGTAAATTCATCGAACTAAAAGAGTAATTATGTGTGTTGGAAATCGCCCATTGCCAGGTTAAAGCAGCGAAGAGCTGTGGGGATGACATGTGAAACTAGGTTCCATGGTTCGTAAGAAAATATTTAATTATATTAAATATATGTATATTTATATATATATATATATCACAAGATATTCCAGTGATTATCTACAGGCTGGAAATCAACGAGAAATATCAAACCGCATCATACATACAGTGATTGGTTGTCAAAATTGGGCCCCCTGCAATCTACCAATGATATTTTGCCCATTTTGCCTTCGAACCGAAGAACTCTTCTGGTGTGAAGCTCAGATGCATGGCAGCGGTTTCAGTCATGTCAACTGTGGAGGACTGTAGCATTACCCGTGACTAGATACAGCCCATTGACATAGCCCAAGCCGTTGCAATGCTGCAATGTGTTCACAATGTTTATGGGCACCGAAAATTCCCGAAGTCGCCATCCAACACTCCATTTTCACCACGGGTTTTGGAGTGTTGGAAAAAGATCCCATGATGTTTTGTTTGGAGAACGTGAGAACAAATGACAGGGCTAAACAAACACATCAAATGATATCAAATGTCCAAGGTCTTTGGTCATTTTTCGGCCTTTTTCTCCCTTGGTTTTTCTCAGATGTCCACCCTTTGCTGAGAGATCCAAGGATATCACCTGTCGTGGCACCACTGTGTTGGCCAGCGCATTGCCACTTGGATGTTGGATTTCCCATGGGTGCTGATTCAATGTGATATTTATGGGAATCTATGGGGATTTATGGTGATTCCTGAGGATAGCAACCATAAAGGTAGGGGGGAAAAATCATAAATAATGGATATTGATGGGATATGACAAGCTTAAACATCAGGTCTGGAACATGATGGAACCCGACCTTTGTCTTGAAAATGGTGGTTTACCTATGGACAACAGAGAAAAAAGTTGGATGTAACCAGGGATCCAACAGTTTTTTCTTAAAGATGAGAGATGTAATTTCCACCACCTCTGGGGAAATTGACGATCAACCGCTAGGCCTTTTGGGATACAGTACCATATGTTCAGATAATATCGAGCCTTGGGTTTCATAGAGTTTGGAGGGACAAATATCCCTAAACGTCAGCTATATATTAATGTGAATAGAAGGGTGCCAGCAGTTTGATCCATAGCCATTGGTCCAATTTAAACTCATGAGGTTAAACAATGTTTTAAAATGGTGGTGAAACATCTGAAGATCACGAATGAGTTCCTTATCTTCATGCTTGAACAAATTTCAACCACGGATGACTCTGGGGAAAGACTCCCAATTTGTCCCAATTGGAGCAGATGCCTACCGTTTGGTAATTTAACATAGCTATCCATTTAGAGTTGGTTTACCTATTAAATTTGATGATTTTCCATAGCTATATCAGTATACCAGAGAGGCTAATTGTATTTTTTTAGTGGTCACTTGATTTGAATATCACACTCACAGGTTGTAGTGTGCAACAATTATATAACTTCTGTTAGAGCATCTTGAAACGCGTTCGTGGAAAGGTTGCTGATTCGGAACCAGCAAGCAGCCCAAGCAGCTCATAGTTTTGCTTCTTCTCAAAGAGCCTCTGCAGAATTGCAGTGTTAAAACTATGTGTGTGTTGTTAGTTGGTAAAACCAGATCGATTTTTCATGATGAAACTATATGAACGTATGTGTTTTTTCCGCATGTTCCCATAGAAAAGCAGCTGACTTGAGGGTCCAGCCACCTTTGTCTCGATATCTAAGGCATGCCCAAAGGTGCCAGGGTGGAACTTGGGGAGAAAACCACCGTGGATTGATAAGCCACACTTTATGTATCTTTATGTATGTTTATTTACATGGGGTTTTCCATAAAGGTGGCCACGCGGCTACCCCTAAATCATCCATTCTATTTTGGGATTTTCCATGAAATAAACCAACCACGTGGGATCCCCCATTAAAAAGGAAACCTCCATATGGGGGTGCCATAATAAATGGCGTCATGACGATTTCGGTGACAAAAATTGGGTTGATAAACTGTCGGATGATTGATGCTTGGTTGATAGTATCCAGCATCCAGTATTTCATTGGATGGGGTTTATGGAACAATTGCAGGTTCGACCCTATATTTGAGGGGAAAACATGGAAAACACATGAAAACACATTGTCACTTGTGGATCATTTCCGTAGCAGACACTATTTGGTTACTGCAGGTTGATTGTTTCAAAAAAATGTGTCTTGCATTCTTTATTGGACGACGATCCAAAATATTGTTGTTCACTGGGCTTGCAGGTTGTGAGCTGAGCTTGGTAATGACAATCCAGTAGAAGGTTGGTTGTGCTGTGTGTTTTTTTCTTGTGTTGGCAGAATCTAATGGCCGGTGACGCAGCCTCAGTCACTGGAACCCAATGTTGGATGGTTAAAAGCCGCCAATGTCGGGATTTTCAGCATCAGGCCATCTCACTCTTGGCCAATCCCCAAAGCTACATTGGCAGTGTTTATCATTAACAAATTGTTTTTCATGGTCAAACGACTTGTTTTCATGGTTCAATCATGCTAGATCATGTTCAATCATGTTACATGTTACATGTTGTTAAATCAATGTTACACGGTCAAATCACCATATGATACAAGCTACGAACGCTGAGAAACTTTGCCCTCAGGCGTCTTGTGGCCTCAGAAAGCGCTGGCTTGGGAGTGCTACACCTGAACCTCGCGGGCAATGCGGTAGCTCAGCGGCACGCGGCATCTGATAGTTCTTGCAGGTCTCAGCGCTTGATAATTTTGGCCCCTAGCCATTTGAGCATTGATCTTGATCTTTGCAAGGCGCCAAGGGATTTACACCAGATTAAGAAACCAGAATGACATGGTTAAGAATCTTGAAAAACTAGTGATAATTAATTGCCTAAATGGATGACTAGATATGGTTTGTAAAGCAATCACTATCCTATGTTGAAAAGCCATCGAAAGACCTTGGACTTGGGCCATTGATAGTTGCCAACATGCCAGAGATGGATTTGCACTTGAGGTTGTGGTGCCTGTACCCAGATATAGCGATGGTATGAACATGACATAAGATAACCGTTTCGTCAATGTCAGTCCCAAACAGATCAGTGCACAGTCAACAGCAGTTGCAGAGGATGTGACCACGAGTCATGACTTAAATGCCATACTTGTTCCATATGTTTTTGTAGTAAAATGCGTTTCTTCATGTTTAAATGACTTAAGTCTCATATTTCTTCCATATGTTTCCCTTTTGTGAAATCCCATGGGCACTGAGGTGGGCAATGCTGGAGCCAAAGCCTTGGCAGAAGTGGCCGCACCTCAGGACCTTGGAGATCTTCATAGGGGATTTTAGACTGATTTCACGGGAGATGTTAAGGAGCAAAAAATGGATGTTACTGTTAATGGGTTTCAGTGGGATTTTAATGGAATTGTTCGTGACTTTAATGGGATGTTAGTTCTATTTTAATGGAAACGAATTGGATTTTAATGGAAATTTTCGTGAATTTAATGGGATGTTCGTGGAATGTGATGGAAATGAATGTGATGTTAATGCGAATTGATGGGATCTCAAAAAGTGATTTCATGGGATTTACTGGGGGTGTAATGGGATACTAATGAGAGATGCCTTCTGGTAGCAAGACAATTGAACATCCATCATTTAGTTCGATGATGTTACAAATTAAACTTCTTCCTCTTGGCGCGGGTATTCCAGCTAGCCACGTTTGATCCCCAGAAGGTATACGATTGTTGTTGTACCATCAGATACCAGGCCAATCCAGGCCAGATCAAATGCCAGAAACTATTACCAGATAAGATTAAAGCACTTGCATGTTTGGTGATGTAAATCCATAAATATCATCCTCAATTGCTATTGCTTCTATATCAAAAATAATGCCAGTTATGCCAGTTATTCACGAAAGCCAGCCGCTAGGCTAGGCGAAGTTCCTTTTGCGAACAAAATGAGTTATACGGGTCTGGGGGTAGAGCGGGCCAGGAGAACGCAAAATCACGGAAATAGGTGCAGTGGAGGCATGACAAGTGGAACTTTTCTGAGGGTTATGTACCAGGTGGCAATTGGGTGACGGTGGGGTACCGATTCCCCCCTGGTCCGTCCTCCGAGGTGCGTTCGGGAAGACTGGAATGGAAGGGTAAAATTATGGAGAAGTCGAGTAAAACCATGGAAAAACCATCTGAAAATTGGGTAAAGCATGGAAAAATGGAGTAAAACTATGGGAAAATGGGGTAAAAACCATGTAAAAGTCGAGTAAAACCCTAGAAAATTGAGCAAAACAAAACCATGGAAAAATCGAATAAAGCACGAATAAAACCATGGAAGAATCGTGTAAAACCATGGAAAAATCTAGTAAAACCATGGAAACATGAAGTGGAACGTTGGGAAAATCGCGGAAAGTGGTCTGTCGTCGGAGGTGCATTTGGGGAGGCGTTAGACACACTGGAATCGAAGGGAGTGCTTAAGCAGCTTCTGTCAGCAGTTGGGCTTGTTCTTGTCGACTTGTATTTGTTGGGCTCCGATGTGGGACCATTATGAGGAAAAGGCATTGCTTGATGGTCCGTCCTCGGAGGTGCATTTCGGGAGGCGATAGAGAGACTGGAATCGAAGGAAGTCAGAGGAAAAGGCATTGCTTGATGGTCACAAGGATTAGAAGCAACTTCTGTCAGTAGTTGGGTCCGAAGTGGGACCATATGGTCGCAAGGATTAGAAGCAATTTCTGTCAGTATACGATGCTTTGGGAAAGACTGGAATAGAAGGGAGTCAGAGGGAAAGGCATTGCTTGGAAAGGTTGCGGAAGGATGTGGATGAGATTGTTCTCGTCGACTTGTATTTGTTGGGCTCCGATGTGGGACCATTGTGGTCGCAAAGATCAGAAGGAACTTCTGTCAGTATAGGATGCTTTGGGAGAGACTGAATAGAAGGGAGTCAGAGGAAAAGGCAT